ATCTTAACTTTTTTTTCTAGTAGTCACTGAACCATGAAAATGAGGTCAAGGACAATGGACATACGACAGACGGAAACTTCATACCATAAGGCATCTATATACAAAATATGAAGCATCCAGGTATTCTACCTTCTGAAATATTAAGGTTTTAAGTAGTTAGTTAACACTACCGTCGCCGCCGCCACTGCAGCAGGCTCAACAATAAAATCTTAAGTGATATTTACTCAAATTCGCTAACTCACTGCAACAAAGTTGTTCTATTTATATAAATGATATATTGCCCCTTATTTACCAATAAATAGTAAAACAGTATAATTTCATAATTTTGTTTTCATCCTCAATAAAGTTGAATTAAGACTTAAGCCTTGGGATGATAGGGGGGGGGGGGGTCTCAAGATAATACCAGGGCCGATATGGAAAAGGTCATGTATTGATCTGTATGCATCATACGACTAGTTTACATGTTAGTAGTTTTTACTTGACAGCAAAAAACTGTAATTGCTAAAAATACATCCCACAGGACCTATTTGATACAAGAAGTAGGCAACTCTATTAAATGTTCAATCAATGAATAAAAATATTAGGCTTTCTCAACACATGTTTTCTTAAAAATGCAAAATATCTTTATACACTTCAAGTACTTAAGTCTGTAAGGAATTAGCATTAAAAAAAGTAGAAAAGTATTTCATAAAATTAAAATTCCACTTTTGTTTTCTCCTCTTATTTTTTTTCAAATGTCATTTTACTTTTATCATAATAAGATGGTTGAAAAATAATTTGAAAAGTGGATATTTTATCAACATCATACACTATCAATTTTAAATAAATGAATAAATAATTACTAAATCAAGAATTAACCAGTTTAGTTACAAAAACCAAAAGATTAATCAAAATTTAGTAATTATTGTATGAAAACATTTTTTCAATGATCCAATTATGACCAATAAAATTTTTAATTACAAGATCAAAAGATTTATCAAAATTTAGTAATCATTTTAGAAAACAGTTCATCCAATGATCCAAAAATCACTGCTAATATGTTTAATCACAAAGATCAAAAGATTAATCAAAACTTGGTCATTACTGTTTACATTGGTAATCATTGTTTGAAAACATTCAATAATCAGTGCTAATTTGTTTAATCACAAAGATCAGAAGATTAATCAATTCTTACTGATTACTTAGTGATTACTGCTAACATTGGTAATCATTGTTTAAAAACAGTTTATTTAATGATCCAATAATCACTGCTAAATATGTTTAATCACCAAGATCAAAAGAATAATGATTAAAAAATAATCACAATGGATTTAGAACTAATTACTAAATAAAACTGTTTCTGATTTCTAAAAAAAGAAAATTGTTTACAAATTCAGAAAATCAATAAAGAATGATAAAAAATAAACATTTTTTGAAAATGATATATGATGATAAAGAACTTAATATCATGTACAATAATAAAATATCATCACTATGTATATCATATAATATATAAATGAGACTCCTCAAATATCTGTAGATCAATCTAAATTGTCATTCTGAATTTAATTTACATATTTGTGTCAATCTGCCTAAAAATCAGGCAGTGGTGAAAACAAAAACCCACTCAAGTTGACATTAGTTTATGTTCAAAATGTATAATGGTGCATGAATATAACATTCGTTTCCTTTTCCTGCTCTGGTAATTCAAGATATAATTTGGTTGAAATGCACTAGAAATTAACAATTAAGGGGAGCTAACTCTGTAATTTGCTATCTTTCTAACCAAAATTTATCTAGAGATTTCTCGAAATTACCAGACACACAGAAATAAAAGACCTACCATTTCTAACTCAGGATAAGGGTAACTTCAAAATAAGATGCTTAGGTTGGTGGGTTTTTTTCGGCCATGTTTTGATTTTTTTTAAAAATGCCTGATTTTTACAAAGACTGGCACCAAGGATTTGTATAGTATACAAATCCTTGCTGGCACTTAAATATTTCATATCAAATTAAGAAGAGATGAGTCTTAATTTTTGCAAAAAACAGAAATCAATTCCCAAAAAGGTCTAAAATATGTCTTTAAAAAATTAAAAACATATGCACATAACATATTATGTAGAATTACACATCAAAATCTGTCTGAAACAGTTGTTTCTTACACTATATTTTAAACAAGTTTTCTTACAATAAAGATATTTCTGTATATTTTCATAATCTATATATATAATGGTTTAAAGATGTGTATAAAATAGTACAAAAATTTTATTTTTTGTTTTCTTTTAAATTTTCATCAATGAAAGTAGAAAAAGCAGTTAAAGCATACTTTTATTGCATTAAAACCTATTAAAGCATTAACATTTCTTTACATACTTTTTTCTTATTAAACAAATCTTTTGCTCTTAAAACTTACTCAAAACTGTTTATATTTCTTTTATTTTGTTTTCTTTTTGGGCATTCAGGCTGAAGTTTACATTCACCTCATTATTAAAAAATATTATTTCTTACAGTTTTACAAATTAAAAGGAAGAATTTTGTTTTTTTAATTAATTATTCTTAATCATTCATTGTTAAATCATAATCACAGTGATTCTTTGATTAGACCATGCTAGCTTGTGCTAATCACAGTGAACAAAAGAAGCCTACCTCACAGCCAATGAAAATGCATGATTAAAGTTCACTATTATTTTCAACCAATGAAAATCCAGTGTTTACACCATAAGCCGAACATGGCACATGTGACACCATATTTAAGCATGTCACTATTGAGACAAATCATTATTCACTTATCAACTACCAATCTCGATCAATCATTGTACTATTACTTATCAATTACTACAATCATGGCTGATTTTCTTGACTTCCTGATGTCATCACCTACCAAGTCACCACTACCCATAGAGATCACATCTACTACCACACTAGAGGACATCATTGCTGCTACTATTCAACCAGACACCACTAACTCTACTGAATCAACTGGTACCACTTCTACTGCTGATCTTACCAACACCACCGAAGATGATGATGAGGCCCTGGCTGCTGCTATCCTTGCAGAAGCAACAGCTCTTGAGCCTGAGACAGAAACTCGCCTTGCTGACTCACTCTTTGATCTTCTTGGATCTCCACCACCAGAGCAACTACTCAGCAACAACTCAGCAGTCCTAGAACTACAGTCACTACTCAAGACAGAACTCAAACAGCAAACCATACCAGAGACTCTGATGAAGCTACTACACAAACCCAAAACCAGTGTATTCACCAGAGAGCAACAACTTCAATGTCAGTTTACCAAACTTGAAGTCAACTACCCAACTCAGGTGTCTCAGTTATCCAGCTTCTTCAAGTACCAGTCTGCTGTAATCGAGACAGAGCGTTACCAGTCACTTCACCAGAATGCTACCAAACCACATCTACGAGTCTCCATCAACAACAACTTTGATGAGCAAATACACAAGGCTATAGATAGGGTTGAGGTAAAACATCCAATATTATTATGGAGTCAATTAAAAATACAAAAAAAAAAGATTTCTTTCATTTGAATTGAATAATGAAATAGAATAAAAAAAAAGGAATGAATTCTGGTTTAAAATAATGAAAAATGTTTCAATGGTGCACATTTTTTATTCAAATGAAAAATAGAGTTATGATGTGTATTTAATTGAGTCAAATAACAGGAGTAATTTTTTCTATGTTTTGTTAAAATGAATATATATGTTTTTATTCATTATATTATTTATTTTACAGCTCAGTGTCAAGAACCTCCAACAATCAGTCACTGACCAGACACACACCAGTACCCATACTACTACCAAGATTCCAACTACCAGACCATGTAATGTCCGCTCTCGTCCACAGCTCTCACGTAGGTCCATCCAGCTCATGGAAGAATGGTACCACTGCAACATAGACCACCCATACCCAGACTCAACCATCATCCAGTCTATTGCACTTCAGGGGAACATCAGAGAAGAACAGGTCAAGAAATGGTTTGCCAACAAACGTAGCCGTTCACAGAACACCCACTCACGTACAGTCATCACCTCTCGTAAGATGTCTTCACGCTACAACGGGAACTCCTACTACCAGCCATACTGAATATCAACATTACTATGAACTTGTTTGTCCTAAGTGCTATGAACTATTGTCGTTTACTAAGTGCTATGAATTATCATTTGTCTGTCTTATGTGCTAAAAACTTATACTTGTTAACTGAAAGTGCTTTGAGATTTATTGCTTTAATTGTTTTATTATGTATTATACTGAAATTGATGTTTTTAATATGTCACATGCTAATAAATAATTATAATTCTATTATTTCTTACTCATTTTTTGACTTAAAGAAAATATAAAAATACAAACAAAATAAAAATATCTATTGGTCCAAAAGTGGTCACAATCAACAAGAAAAAAAAGATATACTTAATGTACAAGAAAACAAGAAAATATAAAATGCAAAAAAAAAAAATATGACTATTGTTTCAGAAGTGGTCACAATCAACAAGATATGACAATAATTTCACACATAGATACTCTCCACCAAAAACATTACATGGATATCTTAAAATAAGAAAGAGTTTATCAACAATCCTTTGGTAAAGACATTTTTAGAAGAAATAAAATATATTATACAAAAATAGTAATGAATCCACAGTCAATAACTTGTATTTTAATGTAAATTTTTAAAAGAAATTCTTTTATAGATCTGCTTGAATATCACTAACAATTTTGTTTTTGTTTTGTTTATAATATCCAACCTCAATTGAATTCTATCTAAATTCTTCATTATTTATAGGGCATAACTCTATATGAAATTCATAAGAAACCATGAAAATTTGACGTCATAATTGAATTTCGACCAATCATTTGCTGAGAACAAAGTTTTCTCTAGAGATGAGAAATATTTGTCTCACATCGATCGAAAAATGTAAAAAAAGCATGAAAATTAGAGAAATACATTGTATTGACTCCCTGAACAGTGAGATCAATACAATTGAATATGTTATTTATATAGATACTACCTTGCCTACAACAGTAGAACCAGTAAAGGAAATCTTTTTAACCATTGGATTTTCACATAACATCTTGCCCACCACTCCTGCATTGGCTCTTGAGCATGTGACTATATTCAACACTCCTGGAGGAAGGCCAGCCTTCTCAGCTAACTGAAATGGATTGGTATATTAAAAGTAAGACCACCCTTAAAAAAATCCATGTTTGATGTTGCCTACCCATGACTTGTAGGGTTGGGTAGGTAGGTAGGGGTTTTATTTCATTTTTTTGGCCAACAACATTAGTTACATGTTTTAGACAAGAAAGCTATGTAAGAGCAGGAAAGAATCTTTAAAAAAAAATTTGAAACGATTTGTGCCATTAAATTTTTCAGGTAGGCTGCTTTTAGGTGGGTAGATAGGTAACATTTTAACAATTCAAATTTTATTTTTGACCTAAATGATATGAAATATGAACTTTATGTGTAACTTGGAAAAAATCATAAAAGAGCTGTCATTAACAAGACAGCTGGACACAATGCTTTCAGTGAATTCCTTTTTTGGTTTAAATTTCTTTATCATTTTCACATCAGGTTTCTATTTCACTCATAAGGTTTTGAATGCAATTCATTTCATTAACAAGTCTCCAAGACATAAGGTTGAATAACTTTTTCTAGCTATTTTATGTTTTAAATATATAGTTACCATTTTTACATTTTTTAAGATCAACACATTAAACTCAACTGATATAAAAATAAGTTTATACTTTCGTCCTGGAGGAAAATGACAGCTTAAGTAATATTGATAGACGGATGCCAAGTGATGACTTGAGACCTACATGACATGTAAGCACATAGGAGACGACGAATGCCAAGTGACGCCCCTAACAAATTGTATGTGATCCTGGATACTACTGTGCTTTATGATTACCTCAAGACCTGGAACTTAAATTTGGAGATCCTCTTATATAATAGTTTCTTCAAGTGTTGCTCTTTAACCCTGGAACAGCTGGTGCCAAATTATACTCAACATAAACATGTAAATGTATATACAACATGGGACCAAACGCTACAGTCTCTCAACTTGTCTTTAAGATGAAGAACCACAATTACTGACCATATAAAAACCAGAACCAGACAAATGACTTAACCTGACGCAAGTACTTTGACAAATTGATAAGGCTGTTGATAACAAAGGCTTGATAAAGTTTTACTTTTATTATATACATTTAATATAAGTTTGCCCTTTGGGAGTCAGTATCTCAGCTGGGAAAATTTTGCTCCAGGCCCTGTGGACGACACTTGGTATAGTGGGTAGCCAAGCCCCGTGGACATGGACACTCCGCCAATCAACTGGAACACAGAGGGTTCCAAAAGGGGATGAAGCGATGCTTCATCTCGTAGCAGGGTGCTATGAAAAGGGGTTGAATTGATGGTGGAGAGATGAAAAGTAGTTAATTACTTGGGGATGCTTCATCTCGTAGCAGGGTGCTACGAAAAGGGGTTGAATTGACAGTGGAGAGATGAAAAGTAGTTAATTACTTGGGGATAAGAAGAGAAATTAACCAGTGGTGAATTTCGTAATGGTCATTTATTTATAAAACACCACTGGGTTGCTGAGAACTGTTCCCACATTCAGTGAAATATTGAAGGTGGTAGATTGGGGTGGATGGTGGGTGAAATTGAAAACTTATTCCTATTGAGTAAAGGTCCTTTGTATTCAACAGCAAAATCAAAAGTGAGAAGCTGGCAGCCTGCAATTGTAATCTGAGAACCTAATCCTTGATATCAGACAGACCAAATTAGGCATGACCTTTGACCTTATAATGGAATCGACTGCCCCATCTCATGGAGGAAACCATCCTGTCTGAATAAACAACACTTATACTCTGCATAAGTTACAAGAGATGTGGTATGATTGCTAATGAGACAACTATCCACCCAAGTTCAAATGAAGTGGATGTAAGCAATTATAGGCAACTGTACGGCCAACTCTAGCAAATGTTAGCTCTGTTATTTATTTTTGTGCTTGTACATGAGTTCATATTAATAACTTTTGAAAAATTGAAACTGAATAGCATTGTATTATCTCCTTCTTATTAAATCAGTACTTGGCAGGCTTGTAACCAGAAACAATGTTGAGGATTATGTGCAAATTACTTTAAAGTTACAAAAATATTTTGTTTTGTAAACATTCATTGTAATTCAAGAACAACACCCTTCCCCTCCCCTATGAAAGATGAAATAAAACTTCTAGGTAGACCACAATTTTTCAGATCTCAGTATCAAAACTGAGGTCAAATTTATATGATGTCTTTCTTCCTTCCTTCTTTACATCAGTTTTGTCTGTTTCTCTTCCACCAATGAGTTTTGATTGTCTCTTTGGTATCTTCTGCCTCTTTTTTAACTTATATTTCATCTTTTTGTAATTTTTTCTATCTCTTTACTGTGGTTTTATTATTACCATATTCATGAGATACCAATTTTTCATGGAATTCATGGGTAAACCAGGAATGTAAATGTCCCAATGAAGCTGAAACTTTTTATAGGCCTGTATGCAGACTGGCAAAATCATGAAAATCAAACATTCATGAATACTGGTATGTAGTTTTCCCTCCATCCACAAAAATTGGTATCTACGAAATTAAATGAGTTCTCAGTATATCAAGTTTCTATATAATACCTCACACAATGCCAAAGCAGAATATGGTGTATCTTCAGCTGGTTTGAGAACAACAGTACATCCTGCAGCTATAGCTGCACAAGCTTTCCTGGTAATCATGGCATTAGGAAAATTCCACTGCAAAAGTATAATGTTTTAAATAGTCTTGATTAAAAAAAAACTCTATAGAAATATTCCCTTTTCTAGAGTTATGATCCCTTTTCCTCCCTTTAGAAGACAAGTGGGGTTGTATGACTTGTAGCAAGTGGATCATGAATTCTTTGAACAGTCATTTCTAAGTAGATTATAGGACAACTGCTTGTGTTATACTCTTAGTCCCATTATATTATTTTTCATAATAGTGAGGATACTGTTTGATTGCTTTTAGGGTTATTCACCTTAATTTCAAATTGGGTTCATAAATTTATCTTATCCCATTGCTAACAATTTATACTTTGCACGTTTTTTTAAAGATTTTTTTCAATAAAATATTTACTGAATTCTGAACAGAATAGGATTTTCTTTCTAAGACTATTGACTCACAGGTGTAATCATACCAGCTACTCCAATTGGTTGTTTGAGTACAAGGATCTTCTTTGTCTTCGCAGGCGATGGAATAATATCCCCATAAACCCTCCTTGCCTCCTCGGCAAACCATTCCATAAATGATGTACCATACATGACCTCTCCTGTAGCTTCAGCTAAAGGTTTTCCCTGTTAAACAGATATAAAATAATTTTACAAAGTCTCAGTAGCTATGATAGTTAAGATTATAAATACTTTAAGCCTTTAAAACAAACAGTTAAAGAGTAAATACAGATTTAAAGGGAAAATTCGCAATTTTTTACTTTTCATCTTATTATGTTCATAATACCATAAAAAACATATTTACCAAAGTTTTATCTGGATATGAACACTAATAAAGAAGAAAATTGGGAATTAATAATTTAATTTATTCCAACTTCCTGACTTATGTGACGTAGTTTAAGTCTTTTTGCATGCCGGGAGTGAATAAATCTCATTATAAGTCTTGTTCGTTAATAATCTAATAACACGATTTAAAGCGCATCGACGACTTTTGGCGTAGCTATTAACCAACTAATAATTAAGAAAGTAAAGTGATCAGCCGTGCAACTTTCAAAATTAAAATGTACGATTTATATTTAAAGGATTTCTGATATGATTACAGTAATAAAAGTAAATCATACAATAGAATATATTTTTATGAATTTTTTTTCCGACGGATATTTTGAACAAACATATATAACTGATATTGTTTTACAAGTGCATGTTTGTATTCTCACCTGAAGGCTTTTACTTCAGTCTAGCAAACATTTCCCACTAGTACTGTGAAAATACAATGTGTATTGTACTGTGACACTTAGTGACTACCTGTTGAATGCGTGGTTAAATTCAAGGTAATTAAAAGATTAGCATTCTGTAATTCTATTCTTTTGATCCTCACTCAGTGAATTTTAGCCAACACGGTTCACCGTTACAGGTGTGAACAACATTTCGTATGAATGATAAAAACATTAATTATTTGGGGAGGAATATGGTGGCAAAATACCTGAATCGCCGTTATATACATGTATATCTTTTATATTTTGCGTAAGCTTAATTTTAAAATAGATAGGTGAGTATTTGTTGTAACATCGAAATTCTGAATTACTTTCAATTAAATAATTTTATAAATAAAATGGCCCACGAAAACGAGCGTATAAACCATACACTGTACTTACTTTTTCAAATTATCATGGGTATTAACCTTGAATATTTCAATGTTTAGAGAAAATTATCGCGGTTACATGATTAATATAGCTTGGTCCGTCCACAGCGATCTACATTTACCTAATCGGGAATGCCCTTATTAAAATATTTAAAATCTCACAACGTATACATACTTTAGCTATTTGACCAACAATGTTTAAAAAAATAACAGAATCAATCTAAGGTCAAATTTCCTTTTTTAAATGGAGACAGACCGGCGGAATCAATTTTCAATGTGCTTTTATCTTGTACCTTTGCAAGACTTATCATTCATTCATAAACCCACTATATACCAGAGACGTATATGTCAGTCTTAACTGACAAGAAGAATGTAGGACAGAAAGTCACAGGACAAAAAGTCACAGGACAAAAAGTCACAATTCAGTTTTAAATTTATTTTTCTTGGAACAAGAAAACACTAATTTAAAAAAATTTTTTTTTTGTTTTTTTCTTGAACTATTATATATAAAGCAACTTTGTTATTAACATTTATTCAATAAATATCAATAATGATCAAATAATTGTTATGGAAACAAAATGTCAAAGTGGATTAGTACTTAAATGGCTTCATGGTGCCAAGAAATTATACTTTGCATGATTAAAATTTAATAAATTTTCATTTATCAAGGCTTATGAACAATTTCCTAAACCTAAAAATGGATATATGTAATAAAAAGAAAATATTTCAAGATCTTTCTCTTATATATTCAAACAATTGTCAACAAATTATTTGTGACTTTTTGTCATATCAAATTTGTGACTTTATATCCTGTGACTTTTTGCCCTGTGACTTTCTGTCCGTTTACCGACAAGAATACACCTAAAGCGGACAAGTAGTATATTCTTTAAGTTTCTGTGATTTAATACCAAGAAAGAAAAAAATCCCTGAAATTAATTTGATACTTTGATACTCAATATTTTTCCTGGAAAATATTCACATCCTCGTTTGGTCTGAAAATAAGATAAGAATTTGGTATACAGAACATGCAGGAGTGTGAATGTCATAAAACCTTGTTTTATCAGAAACCATTATAAATGTGAACCTGTATACGTAAGACCTCATGGGACGTCACCTAACCACATACATGTAATATACAAGTAGCTCTGTTATACCCGGAAATGTCAAGGTAAATCACTACCGATACAGAATGTACCAATGCAAAGAAAATTCTGATGATTGTGAAGCATGACCATTCATGATTTTAGAGGAGTCTTAGGTGAAAATTGCCGGTACTATTTAAATTCTGACAGAATTTTTTCTCTCAATTTAAATCACTGAACTTAAAAAAAAAGAAACCTACGCCCAAGATCAGAGTTCTTCATTTAAATTCATAAATACAACGTTCTTATTTTGTAACTTTCGATATACTTCAACTCCAACCACCGCCCCCTCCCAACCTGGGAACAGTATATCTAACATTACAATGTTTGTGTACCTGCCCAAATAAAAAAAAAAAAGAAGAAAAAAGAAAGAGATGTCAGAACGGTAAGTCACATCAGATTCAAATATTTATATGGTTGATTGTCGTTAACTAGAGATGTATAGTTACATGTCTCTGCGTTAACTTATAAGAATGACAGGAAAGTATATACTTGAAATAGATTTATGATGAATAATATATGTAACTGAAGCACCCCTTTTTATCAAAGTGTACATGCATGTATTTTAATGACTGTCCGTTATTTCGATTAAGAATGACAATTGTACGTGAAATTCTATAGTTGCCAGATATGCGACTTTTCGTATTTATATTTTCTCTTATATTACTCTCATTAATATTTTATGCATAAGTGCAATATTAGGAATGGTTTATCCCCCCTCCCTTTTCAGCTAACTAAATAAATTAATCAACCCTCTAGCTGACCAGACGTTAATACATCTACTATCAGTCTATTGGGAGTGAAGTTTCTTTATTTCTTCAAATAAGCTTTTTGGGGATCATTAGTGTACGTCCAGTGGCATATATATTACATGCAAGTCGGAACAGGAAAATTGACATGAGGTACTACCGGTATAATAGAACCATGTTCACATTATTACATTATTATACATAATACACAACCATTGTGATGATGACGACTTTCTTAAACTGTTCAAAATAATCTAATTGAAATAAAAATCTGTGATTTTACTATGTGCATAACTTCGATGAACCAAAGCAAGTTAGATATCGACCTGTATTTAAATCAGATTGGTTTTGGATGTTTCTCTCGTATATTCAATATACATGTATATATTCTAAATTGCGACTATCTATAGTTCCGTAACCTTCTATCTAGGCGTATAATCCAATGATCGACAAGTGCGAACATTTTGTTAAATCAATATTTGTACGTTTAAAAATGTCCATAATTATTTACAACGAGTAATTACTTACATTTTCCCCAATTAACGTTTGGGAAATATGTAAATATATTTTTATTTTATCAAATCTTTTTTTGGAATTATTTAGATTTTCATAAATATTCTTTACACCATAAATGATATTTATAAACAAGCGTATGAGTTTAGTCATATATATAATGGCTATTATATCTATGGTTTAGTAAAGACTAGCATATCACTATCGGACACGCAAGACAAAGATGTATATTTACCTGATAGTTTCAAAATGGAAAGTTACAAGTAATCGGCCGTGTACACTTCTCAATACCCTCAGAGGTGAAGTGATGCACGAACTTGCTTTATGTAATTGTGTAATAAGAGTGTTAAAGCCCGACAGGAAATCGCTTGAATACCTGGACGTGTCAACTCACAATACCTCTGGGAACAATTCCTTTAGCCATACTGGTGATCAGATAAGGGAAGGTCCGAATTTATTTAAATAAGATTATTACATAAATGAATTATGAACACACTAGATTTTCGAAAACATTTTTACACGTAACACTTAATTTATCACTTTGAACTTTTTAACTAATTTCCATTAAAATTTCTTGTTTCAAAAACGTAGTAAAAAAACAGTTTTAAAACGACAGACCATATAGTACTAGTTATTCAAAAAAAATTATATATAATTACATTTTCCGCCTATCAAGTTAGTTAGGAAAGGTTGCATGCACAACTATGTCTATTATAATCTTTTTTTGTGACCCGGGAAACTGTTTAGGCTTTCCTTGTCGGGTAAAACAACCGTACGCTTGACAAGATATCGACACTCAATTACGGCTACGTTAGGTTACTGCTTGTTTTGGTCCTTTGTGGTTTATAGATATATCGTGGTTTCTATTCAGGGATGATGTCAAAATGGCCGCACGCGGAGAAGTGATACTCTAAATTTAAAATCGATGGTGATCTCTTATCTAGCAGAATTAAACTTTAATATTTATGAATTTGTGGTTTTTTATACATTATCAACATAATATCAATTTTTCATTTTTTTGCGAAGTATCCCTTTAAAGCTTCATTCAATATCCAAAAACTTTGTAAAAGCATGACAACAACAAGAAGACCAGTCCTAAGGTAATGTTATTAAATTTCATTTCAAAAATTGAATATAAAAAAAAAAACAAACAAAATTGAAAAGGATTTAAACTTGGGTCTCGTTTTGAAGCCTTTCATCAGATATCTTAGAATATCAAATTTCCCTGAAGTATTATGTCTTTTACCAGCTTCTGCCACTGTATATAAAAATAGGGAGATGTGGTATCAGTGCCACACTATTCCCCTGAGACCAAAGGACAAGGACGTTAACAACTAGAGGCCACTTAATGGCCTTCAACAATGAGCAAAACGCATGCAAGTAACCTATTAAAGGCCTAGGCATGACAAAATACAACAAGAAAAGCAACAGTCTGATTTATCTAGACATAAGTGAAAATTTCTTGTATGTTTTTTTTCAAAGTGTGCTGCATTTTTTCCAAATTGCATCAAAATAGCTAGAATCTTCAATCCTTAAATAATAATGTTAACTGTATTGATGTAATGTGTTGTTGTTAACGTTTTGTTTTTTTTAAAGTTTTATTTTCAGTTTTCTTGTCCCTGATTCCAAATTTTCTAAAACTTCTGATCACATTTAGGCTAGGGGATTTTATCTTAATTGTGAAATTAGTTTAAATAAACCCCTTACAAAAAGTTTACTTAATACATGTAGCAATAAATGAAAAGCCTTTTCATTGCAGAAAATACAACTGTAAAGTTTAAGTGATGTCTTCAACCCAATTAACATCATCCATATTTTACCAAAATATGATAATGGTAATTTTGCATAAAGCATTTCGTTAAATATAAAAAGAGAAACAGACTTAACTAAAAAGATATTTGACTCATGCTAGTATCTGTATTTATTAAAGTCAAAATATCAATATCAATCTTCCTTTTTTGGTATGGAACCTTGTGGTACAATGGAGATCCATAGACTTTTACTCAAGTTATTGTCTGGAAACCAGAAAATCCTTATTTTTTTGCCCCTTTTTGGTCCCTAAACAGTTTGGTCCATGGCCCCAAAAAGAAATCCCAACCTTCCTTTTGAGGTATGGAAACTTGTGGTAAAATTTCATAGAGATCCATACACTTATACTCAAGTTATTGTTTGGAAACCAAATGTCTTTGGACGACGATGATGAAGACGAAACTGACAAAGACGACAACGTCATAACATTATACAAACGCAAAAATATTGCAGTCGTATAAAAATACATGCCATTCTCTAAAAGATTTCTTTGAAATGAGAATGTGAACTTCATGATCAAAATCACATTATTTTCAATCTTACATTTTCAAGTGTTAGTATCTTTGCAAGCTCATCTTTATTCTCTATACAGAGCTCGCTCCATTTTCTCAATATGACACTTCTTTCCTGAAATTGAGAAAAAAAAGAAATAAAATTATCTGTCAGACATGAATAGAGGAGCAGAAATTTTAAAACTTACACAAGAAAAAATATGTATACATTAATGTTATTTTGTACTTGCATAACTGACAATATATATTGTGTCTTTAGGCTTTACCATTTATCCATACTATTGTTCAATTATTTATATTTAAACTTTAGTGTTTTCTTGTATGGAAATATTGAAAAGGAAATGTACTGTTATTGGCACTGCCAAAGATCACTATGAATAGAAATTAACTCTCAGTATGTGTTATGAGTATTAAAATTTGCGGCATAAAAATATTTGCAGTTTTACGTGTCAAAATATGTTCGTGGTTTATCATTTTATAGACATATACTTGAGAATAAAGTTTTCATTTTGTAGTATTTTTAAACTTTGATTCCCAACCAAAATTACTAGATTTTTTACAATTATCTATACCTTGGCTGTTGTTTCCTTCCATGATTCAAAAGCAGTCTGAGCAAATTGTATAGCATTCTGTGTGTCTGCAGCATCCATGTCTGGTACAACACCAATCTTTTTCCCATTGGAAGGATTGACCACTGCAAATTGTAAAACAGTAGCCCAGAATTAATAATAATTTTGATTTCTGAATTTCAAGGTGCAAAAAAAGTGGCCTTTTCATAACTTCTCCTTTAAACCAAAATTGACATAATTGATCCTTATAGTGTATCTCCCTAGATTTCAGTTTTTGAATCATTTTCTTTTCTGTCTATTGACATGGCTACATGGATTAAAAATAGAACATATAATGTAATAAACTGCTTCGCCGAGCGCAGCTGGATACGACTGCAGAGGTCCAACCCTGAACAGTAGGAGCAAAATATATTTTATAGGTTTCTGACACAGAATAAATGTGTCAAAGAACTTGAAATTAGTTGTATGATTTGAATTTATATTCAATTGAAGATTTCTTGCTGTTGTGCAATACACTGTGCTGTTGCGCAATACTTAGTAATCTGTTTTCAGACTATATACAAAGAATTAGCAAAATAAGTGGAAAATTGACAATTTTTTAATTTTTTAAATCTTGAGGAAAAAAAATAACCCTCCCAAAAAAATTTTTTTTTACCCCCCCTCCAAAAAAATATTTGAAGATAATTTTCTTTTGAGGAAAAAAAATTGCCCCCCCCCCCCCCCCCCCCCTTCCAAAAATATTAATTTTGAAGAAATTTTCTTTTTGTAAAATGTGGTACAAATTAAGAGACATCCATATGCTTAATCACAAGTTATTGTCCGAAAACTAGAAAAATGCTTGTTTTAGACCCTTTTTGGCCCCTAATTCCTGAACGGTTTGGGCAATTAACCCCCAAAATGAATCCCAACCTTCTTCTTGTGGTATTGAACCTTGTGGTACAATTTCAGAGCAACCAAATACTTATACACAAGTTATTGTCCTGAAACTAGAAAAATGCTTGTTTTTGGCCCTTAATTCCTAAACGGTTGGGACCATCACCCCCAAAAACAATCCCAACCTTCCTTTTGTGGTATTGAACCTTTTGTTTAATTTCATAGAGATCCATACACTTAAACTAAAGTTATTGTCTGGAAACCAAATGTCTTCAGACGACGCTGACGTCTACAACGACGTGATACCAATATACAACCGCAAAAATATAAAAATACAAATAATTGTCACAAATCCTGAAAACTGTAGTTGATATAAGTGGAAATCTGATGGGACACAGTTGCAGTTAAGTAAGTCAAGATCTACTAAAAACTATAGCAATCAAAATGAAAGAACTCATAGCTGGAGTTATAATTGTCTTTTAAAGGGATGATAATGAACTTGAAGAGTTTTGGGATATTTTCTTTCAAACAATAATGGGTAGAGAAATGCAGTAAAGTGAAACTAAAAAAAAGTGTTGGAATCAGAAGTAATTATGAGTACCTTTTAACAATGATTAATACCAAAATACTTTTTGTTGAACAATCCTTAGTTTCCAACACAAAGATACAAAAAAGGATTATTATTTGTGTTGCCCTAACTTAAATTTTACCAACCATCAAATGTTTTGCCACTTGCAGCATCTGCCCATTTTCCATTTACATATGCCTTTTCATGGAGAAATCTTACACTGGTAGGAGCTGCCATTTTTATATACCAAGGAATGCTACTCTTATTAATCAACAAATGAACTTTGGATCCAGCTGCTCTAAAAGTCATACAAATAGCCTGGAAAACAAAAGTCATATGAATAGCCTGGATAGATAAACTGATTTTCATATTAGTGGATGCTTAAATTAATGCAATGTATATCTGTTCATCTAACATGAAACTTACTTAAAAATGACTTAACTTTTCCTCAAATGTGACCTACTGATTTAGACTTATCACTGGGTTTTATTGACATTTGCAACACAACAGGTGCCACATGTGGGGCAGGATCGGCTTACACTTCCAGAGCACCTGAGATCACCCTAGTTTTTGACTAAGTTTGTGTTGCTCAGTCTTTGATTTTTGGTGTTGCGTTTTATATACTGTCTTTCGGCCGTATTTTGCCATGGCATGATAAATTCATTTTTGACTTTAAGTATTTCTGTCTCTCTTTTACTACTGTTTCTGGGTACAAAACTTGTTCAAATTCAGACAATCCTGCAGACTGAGACACCTTATCTTTTACTCAGTAATTAATAAACAACCATTAATCATTATCAACATTTTCACAAAAATATAAAAAATATACTATTTTATAATCATGATAATATTTGATAAGAGTATTGCCCAGCCCAGTGGGAAATACTGGGAAAAGCTGGGTTTTACTGGGTAATACTGGGCAAAACTGGGTAACAAGAAATACTGGTTTAAATTTTTAAGAGGATTCAGTGATCAATTACAAATGCAATACATAAAAGATTTATATACAGAATATAATATTTTAATTTATTATCTCATTGTTTGAGATTTTTATTTTAAAGTGTATAAATTAATAGGGAAAGTATTGGTCCAGCAACTCTTAAGGCAAACATGAGCATGCATAGACTTATGTGAAAATTTTTTACAATAAGATTTATAGATAATCTTCGCTAAAAGTAAAACATATACAATTCAAAAAAAATATCTCTCTTAATTTGTCAAACTGTTATTGCAATAATAATCCTTTTCATCTTTATAAGTATGGTTGATATGTTCCCTTATGGTGTATATTTAGCAAAATGATTGTAAAGCAATTAAATTTTCCAAATTCACTATACTACTACACTACCAAACAAAGCTGAGAAATCAACAAGGTTTCCAAAAATTTGCAAAACTCAACTGTATTCTGCCTATACATGCTACATGTATATAGAATTATCAAATAAAAGGAAGATCTTGAATTTGTTTATCCTCTGAAAATGACTCAATGTTTATGTGTATATTATTATCATATATATTTTAACAAAACGCATTTGACTAGCAGGTTGAACAGTGGATGTTCGTAAACCCTGCTGACTGCCATTGGCGATTGCCAAATAAACGGATCACCAGATGTAACAAAATGGATCTTAACTAACGGATCACCAGATGTAACAAAATGGATCTTAACTATCCATTTTGTTACATCTGGTGATCAGTTTATTTGGCAATCGCCAATGGCAGTCAGTAGGGTTTAAGAACATCCATTGTTCGACCTGCTAGTCAAATGCGTTTTGTTAAAATATACTTTTTCACTTTTTTGGTCTTTTGGAAAATGTTATTTGTGCTGTATTTAGACCCCTCTACCAAGAAATTTGTTTTGCATGCACACGTATAAAAATTGCGGTTTATATCCAACACAATCATAGGTTTGAAAGTTGTTTTCAATTTAGACTTGTTATTATTTTATATATATAGCAATAATACTATGAAACTACAGTATTCATTTACTATTTTGATTAAAAATAAGCTTAAAAATTCATAATGCCCAGTATTACCCATTTCAGGGAGTATTGTCCAGCCCCGGAAAACCCGGACCTGGGTTTTCCCGCCCAGGTAATACTTTGCCAACCCTGTGAACAGGAGCTTGTTTCATGGGTTAGATGAGGTTTAACTGCCAATGGCGGTTACTAGTTTAGTGGGTCAGATGAGGTTTTACTGCCAATGGAGGTCACTATCTGACAAGTTGCTTATCTATAGATAGTGACCGCCATTGACAGTAAAACCTCATCTCTTCCACTAAGCAAGCCCCTGTGGTGCATGCTAAAATGATTGCAACATTAAAAAATACTAGTGATTTTCAAAATAAATTTGTGTCAATTTAATTTGAGGAACAAACTATTTAGTTTTTCTAAATTTTAATTTGAAAAATTTCTCATACAGGTTGGGAAAGATTCTCACAACTGGATATTATCCCAATTTATGAGAGTCTTCACAAACGCTGCTAGATAACTCAGCTTATCACAAACTCGGACTATAACAAACTCGGCCTACCATTATTTATATGAAGAAATAAAGTGAACAAACTCGGGCTATGATTTGTAGATTGTGTTACATAACTGTTTTTTTTTTCCTTCTTTTTTTAAATTTACTTAATTTATAAATAATTTCAATACAAATTTATGAGATAATGATAAATATTTTTGAAAAAAGAAATGTAATAAAATAAAACTTAGATCGATCAGATAAAATATGTGTTTATGAGATACAGTTTAAGTGAAATATAAGTTTGAATTGAATACTTTAAATGAGGATAATTAACTTCTATTTGAAAAATTATTGTGAATTTCTCGTTTGTACTTTTATGTTAATAGTATGTTTTTTTTATAGCTAAATGGTGTTTTAATGATTGGCGTGCGTGTGTGTTTGTATTGTGTTTAATCCTTGGTGTTCATAATTGCTATACAAACAATGATAAATTCGATTGACAGTGAATGGCTTGTTAACAATTTCATTAATCTGTAATTCTTTATTAATGGATTCACCAATTAAAAGAATAATTATATTAAATGGTCACAGATATAAAGTTTTTATAAAGGCAAGCCGAAGCAAACAGTTATTTTATTGGTAACTTTTCATTATACTTAACTGAAATTAGTCTTACTTTTCTTTTTATATCGTGTTAACGTAATTTATATTTCTTGCTTGTAAAATGTTAAAAAATAAAATATTTAATTATTCTAATTCATAATTAATTTCAATAAAGTACTGATAATTAATTTCCAATAAAGAAAATAACATCCATCATCATACTTATATTCGTCTAGTAGTCCGAGTTAGTTCTAGTCCGATTTTGTGAGGCCGATTTTTTTATAGGCCGAGTTTGTTATAGTCCGAGTTTGTTATGGGCCGAAATATCAGGGAGTCTTCACAAACATGTCAAACTTTTGGAAACTATTCCTTATTGTTGGGCTGTGCAGCAGTGCCCAATCCTTAAAATTTAAAAAAAGATGTAGCAAAGTTCAGTTCTTGTTTTCTATTCAGTGGTGTGGATAATAAAGCACCAATATGAATTATTTTTTGTTGATGTTGTAACTAAATTTATCATCAGGGAATTTAGTCCAAATAATTATGACGTCTTGAAAGGCTTTTTTATTTTTTATTTGTGTTGCAGGAAGGCGTCAAAGCAAAAAAATAAAATAGCCTTTCAAGACGTCATAAGGGAACTACCATTTGATTTTTATGGGGGGGGAGGGGGGCTAGGATGAAAAATTTTGTCCTGCATTTTTTTTTAGTTGTAATCTCTGTCCTGCCTTTTTATTTTTCACTCTATTCGGTCCGGGTTATTCTTTTCACCACCGAAAACTGCCGAACACCACCGAACACCCAAAAAGACCACTAACCCTTAAAAAAAACAGTAATGTTACACAATAAAACAATAAAATTGATTAAATTACATCCTAATCTCATGTTTTCACATTTTTAAGTGCATTAGTGATGTTAAAGTTGAGAATCAAAATTAAAAAAAAAAAGCTTCCGGATCCAGCAATATTTTTTCCGGATTTACATTGTCTGTGTTTCATTGTATATTATCTTATGGTCTTTACTTTTCAATTATTAGATATAAATTGTTCAAATAAGTAAAAACATTTCATTTAATGTGAAATTATCACAATAATTATATTCAAAAAAATGTTAGACTTGACAACAGCCCTGCAAGACTGTCCTTTTTGGTTCTCTTGTTATTATTTCTTATTAATTTATGTATATATATGTATAAACATATTCATCCTCGTTCAGAAGGTAAGTAAATATATAAATAAAGATGAAAACAATATATTTAGATGTGTTTAATGGTATTTTAATGTGTTAGGTGGTGTTTGGCGGTGTGAGGTGGATGTTTGGTGGTGAAAAGACCAACCGATTTGGTCCTGCCTTTTTTTTAATAGTTTATCCTGACTTTTTTTTATATATTAAAATTGTCATCGGTCTTATTTTTTTGCCGAGTTGCTCATTCTGCCTTCTTTTTTTTTTTTTTAACTCAGATCTCCTCTCCTGCTTTTTTTCAAATTTCATCATAGCCCCCAATAAAAATCAAATGGTAGCTCCCTAATTATTTCACTAGAGCCTAGTAAGGGAATTCACCTGATCGCCATAATAAGAATGAAATTTAGAATTGAATGCGTTATTATTACCATATTAGTGTCATTAAAATAGTAGCTCTAAGGTTTTTTAAACAAGATTTCACATGGTGCTACAACTGTCAAGCATTATCTTATCTCTTTACGCTTTAAATGTTACAACATTTTTTTTCATAGATACGAAAATTCAATCCAGAGTTATCTGTCCTGTCTTGTTCAAATTTCTAATAAGAGGAAATAAGTCGGTTGTGGAAACGATGTGTCTCCGGTGTATGGTCAAAAAGTACAAACCCTTGTACTGTTATATCAATGTCTCTGATTCAACTGAAATTAAAAGCAATTTGTCTATTACAAGGTTATAAATAATGATAACTCTGAAAATTACAATACATATTTCTCTTTGCCTCAGTTATTTTAATTAGTTTAGAATATTTCATTCTGTTTTTCTTGTCACAGTCTTCTATTTGTCCTGCGACCGTGATAGTATATTGACGTTAGCATAATGAATATATTATGTCCCAGGCATACTATTCCCAGATTTGTCCTGTCATTTTAGGTCGCAAGCATTCGGGAAACTAATAAACAGTAAAATAAAATATAATCAGGATGAAACAATTAAATAAACTTAGTTTAATAAAAAATATTCTCGGCCTAACGTGGAGCAACTTTTTTTTTTAAATAATGCAAGGATTTGTATAGTACTATACAAATCCTTGAATAAAGCAATGTGCAACCGGTTTAAAACTGTAAGAATTGATATGGACTCAACTCCAAGTCAATATAATTCACGGTTCCAACACTAAAACAAACATAAAACTAATAGTAACATTAGTGAAGAGGTTCCGACCCATATCACATTTACTGAAGCTACTTCAAAATAACTAGAGGCTCTCAAGAGCCTGTGTCGCTCACCTGTATCTACTGTGGTTTTGGAAATCATGTAAGATAAGGTTAAAATCATATATGATACCCTAATAATGATTGAGGCCAATAAATTGTTTGTTTTTTTTTTTAATTTGTTCGGTGTCTGTTAAATTATGTTTAACTTATGGGTAATAACAACAATCTCCGTTTTTATGTCGTTTTCTAATTTAACTAACATCAGAAATGAGAAAATTGTGAGAAAATTTCACAATTTTCTCATGGTAAAGATCACTTTGAACGAATACGACATAGTAACACAAATATGTAACATAGTTTGAAGCGATTGCTTTTAAAATATACTGGACTTTACATTTATCTGTTCACTCCATCAAATGTGACCATATTCTTTAGATCCAGTATTAAAGGACGCTTGAGGCAAATGAATACCTATTCCAACCTTGATTAAGAAAATATCACACTTATTGACACAAAAAATCCGTGAAACGTTAATGGTACTATATAAAGAGAGACGTTCATATAATTTATGCATCTTTATTCGGTGCAATTTTTCCTCATCTTTTACATGCAATAATTTGTTGTTTTTGGATCATAAAGATGACCATGATAATATATATAAATATTTGACAAACATTTTAATTTCGTTTAAATGCAAATACCGATGGGATAAACACATGCTTTCTTACCTTAAACTAGGACATTCATGTACTGTTAACTGATAAAAACTTGTGTGTAGATTTACATGTCCTTCAGTCTTTACTTCAAACATTAGATTTATTCAAGTACACATTTTCCGTACAGGTGATATTGCAGGTAAAGGCTCACTGGCCCCTTTGGTTACATCACAATAATTTTAATGGAATAGAAAAACTGGTTTAAAGTTGAGTGAAACATTCTGTTAAAAAGAAAATAAAAGTAGTCAGAAAAGGATTAATGGAATGGTAAAGGATCTTTATTGGTATTACATTATAATTGACACAGTTAGGGCAAAGCAGCAGGGTTAACATATCAATCTGTTTATTATAAAGGACAAAATAGTGAACTCTCAATGCCGTTACTGTTTCAATAGAAACATTCATTGCCAATATGACCAGAGTATCAACCAAAATGCAGAAATATTCAGACAAGCAGAAATACTAGGTAGTGGAATAAACAACACACCGAAATTTTCATGACAAAGTATAATCGTCGCGGACAATGTTTATCGTTAATATATATAAATCTTTGTGATTATTAGTACTTTGAATATACTTTAATGAAACAGAAAGGTATATTATCAGCTCAAATACAAATTCTAGGAAAACATTATAGCTTTTAAGTGATGGCTTTAAAGATTGTAGTTTATTCCAATTGGGAAGAAATGTGGCAAAACGAGATCCTCCTCCTTTGTAAAAAAAACTTGATATGCCTGATTTACTTACAGGAAGTATGATGAGTTAATTAAAGCTGTATATTTTCTCCTTGACAATATCTATGTACGTTTCGGCAATAAAGTTGATCAACATTTTGTAGCCTACGGTATTCCTATGGGCGCCAATAGCACCCCTTTAATAGCAGATTTATTCCTGTGTTGTTATACATTTTATGGCAAAAACCTAGTAAAGATCTGTCTAAACTCCATTCAATTGAAAAATTTAACAACACTTACTGTTTCCTTGATGATAAAATTACGCGACATTATTCTCTAAATATATTGCCAAAATATCCAAGGGAACTTACTTTAAATAAATCTAATACAAACAGCAATAACTGTCCTTTCGATCCTAGATTTACGGATATTTCAGTTTCAAATGCACGGACGGTCAATTCTATACAAAGATTAATGGCACATGCAAGGGACGATTTTTCGTTCCCTTTTTATAATTTTTCTGTTTTTGACGGTGATTTTCCTTTGGCCACATCTTATGGTGCTTATATGTATCCCAAAGCGTTCACTATGTTAGTGTCTGTATAGAGATGTTATAGATTTCTACGAACATAATCTGTGGTCGATGTACGTTGAAGTCTAGCATATTTGTTTTTCGTTTATTGTTTTGTCAAAAATCAGACGATGTTTTTTTTTTTCGTTTGAATTGTTTCACACATGCACATGTTGTCATATCGGTTACTATACGGTAAGAGTTTTGCTCATTGTTGAATGCCATACGGTGACATATAGTTGTTTACTAGTAATTCCACGTCATTTAGTCTCTAGTGAATAGTTGTATCCTAGACAATCATACCACATCTCCTTATTTTATATTAAGACATACACCTAACTATATGTCTTATAACATGTATCTAAAAGATATGCAATGGTTTACAGCCCTGTCATTTATCGGTGCGTCTTGATCTGAAGGATTCTCAAAAATGAAAATAACTCTTTAAAAATTTGGGCCTACCGAAAAGTTTTCGGGATTAACCTTCATCAGTAACACTCAAATCTAAAATGTTAAAGGTCAACAGGTGTAATTGCATCTTTATGTTGTAAAGTGTTATCTATATATGTTTACTTACGGGATTATAAATATCAATTTATAGTTGATCTATATTTATTTTTAAAAGTTTGAATCAGAATAATAATCTTGAATTTAAGAAACATGCATGAAATACTTGCCACTGGACGTTAAGCAAACACCATTGAAGTGTGCAGAGCTTCCGCTCTTCGTGCTCAATTTGCTGTCAAGTTCCATCAACGAGTTTACACCAAAAATAAGACTAAAAAAAGTATTAACAAAAATACAGAATTCCAAAGTAAATTCAAAAAGGGTAAGTCCATAAAAACTGACTAAATTAAACGTTCGATTTTAGCAACCAACGAAACGAATGGAAACGACTGTCATATTCCTGACTTGGTAAAGGCATTTTCCGAAGAAAATGGTGAGTTAAACCTGGTTTTATAGCTAGACAAACCTTCAATTTGTATGACTGGGGTTAGTTCCGTTATAATAACTTAATTGAATGAGCAACCAAGACATAATAGGTTAAGGTGACAATAATTGGGATCCAGCAGCCAACACTTTGTATAAACATGCATCACAGACATACAACAAAACTGACTTAAGAACCGTGGAAGGAAAAGCTAAATGTGTATTTACCGATGTCATTTGTGAAAAGATGACACAAATTCGTACTGAAACTGGTGTTTTCAACTCCAAATTATTCTATTGTGTCACATGTAAAAAAAAAATCAGTAATGCTAAAAATTTGAAGACACACATCAAAGATCATGAAAGGACATGTCGGTTTAAAGCCTAACGTCTGTGAGGTATGTCGCAAGAGTTTTATGGACAAAGGCGACTTGAAAAAAACATATGCGAATACACAGTGGCGAAAAACTTTACAGCTGTAACATTTGTGGTAGAACATTTATATTTTCAAGTAATTTGACGTGTCATTTGAAAATACATAAAGTTTAAAAGAGCATAGTTGTGAAATATGTGGTATTCGATTCACAGACAAAGGCGATGTGACAAAGCATATGAGAGGAAAACATGGTAACAAGAGACCATACAGCTGTACCACATGTGGTAAAAGCTTCAAATTCCCAAAATGTCTAGCAATACATATGAAAACATACTAATGATCGACCATATGGTTGTGAGACATGGAAAGCCAACGGGGTCAAAATTCTTAATTCGTAAATTGTCTATTTGTAACTTGTAACTGTGAGATTTCAAAATTCTTCATTCGTAAATTGTCAATTTGTAACTTGTGTCTTTGTAATTTCAAAATTCTTAATACGTAAATTTTCGATTTGTAACTTGTAACAGAGACATATATACACATACATGTGTATATATGTCTCTGCTTGTAACTGTGAAATTTCAAAATTCTTTCTTGGTAAATTGTCAATTTGTATATTGATGTTTTGTAACTTGAAACATGTCGATTCGTTAAATGTCATCGTTGTTTTGTGCTAACGATCATTATGACGACAGATGGCGCTCGGTTTTGTCTTCGGTGTATAAGCCTTCTGTAATTAGGAGCACCTCCATATGGAGTATTAAATCAATTATGTACAGCACATACATATAAAAGAAAACAAAGAGATAAATACTTTGTTTTATATAGCATATATACAGGTACTCGGTTTTATGAAGAGGTGACCTAGAATAAACATGTATGTCTACTGTAATGGTCACCACACCTGGGAGGGGATGTGTCACTTCTTTTATTAAGATATATACAGATGTGTCGCTGGAATGGGCTCCCTTTTCAGCTTTGCAAATATATGACTGACACTTGGCAGGAAATTTCTTCTTAATATTTGACCGGGTCAAAATTAGACTAAATACATGAAATGTAAGATTGAGCCGGAAAATTCAGTCTAATATTGTTCTGGGCCGCAAATTTTGGACTAAATATATGATGGGAGAAATAGGTTGCCACCCAACTATTCTTAACATTATTATCTCAATGTTAAAATTTTGGAAAAGAATTTAATTATCTAATGATTTTTTAATGCAAGAAGCAAATGGATGAAAAATCTTTATTTATTTGGCTCTTGAGGAATGAAGATAAAAATGTTTTATATTATGTGTGCACTTAGCAAAAAAAATTAAATGAAGTATTATTTTAAATGAGTCACTAAGTAAATGTATACTATATATTAAAACTGTATTGAAGATGCACTAGTTTTTTATAAAGTCTAAAGGAACTAGAAATCTTAACGAGGACCTAAAATGGACTATCCATATTTCCAACGTAGCCAAGAAGGCAAACTCAACACTAGGATTCCTGATAAGGAATTTGAGATATTGCACACCAGAATGCAAGAAAACCGCATATATTTCACTGGTCAGTTCAATAATGGAGTATGGAGCAATAGTATAGGACCCCTACAAATCTACGAACATTAACAAGCTTGAAAGAATACAGCGACAAACTGCGAGATTTATAACAGGAGACTACAAATCCAGAGAAGATGGTTGCGTCTCAAAAACGCTCGCCAAACTGGAACTACAAGACATACAGACAAGATGCTCAAGCCAGAAGCTAATATTTCTGTACGAGGTGGTTGAAGGGCTGGTTCCAGCTATAGAATCAGACAAATATTTAAAAGAACGCTCGTCCAAAAAGAACAATTACTGCCAAGGGATTTGACAAATATCAGTCAATAAATATTGTGGAAAAACAAGTCAAGAACTACACAAAGTGTTTTGAGATTCCAACCAGAAAAATACCGCAATACTATAACTCATTTTTCGTAAAAACAGTAATCGAGTGGAACCACCTTGAAGACACTGTAGTGCGCACAGAAACTGCTCTCGTGAACAGTCAATAAATCGACGGCGCAATCTCTACTTTTGTATTAAATCCAGTATTGGTATACACAAGGTATTCCTACAGATACAGATACAGATCTAGAATGATTACTGGATCGACGAGACATGACATATACCAGGAGTATAATGGTGTGATTTGGTTTAAACAATATTTATTCAGATAAATCAACATTAAACGATATTATACAAATGAAATAATATTAAGGATTCAGAAACAAGCAATTTGCTTTTACAAATCTGTCTCCTTTTACAAAAAATAATACACTTATTGGACAATACATAAATATAAATACTGGCATGCTCTGTAATAAATATATCAATATGAAAAAAGGTGAAAGAAGAAGAAGATGAAGAAAAAAAAAAAAAAATTAATGAGAAAAAAAAAAAAAAAAAAAAAAAAATAAAAAAAAATAAATAAACATGAATTATTGTAATCTATACGGTGTGAAATGCTTGGGTTTCTATTGAATGATGAAGCATTAACATCAAGGGTTAAAACGTTTACTTTTAATAATATATTTCTGCACCAAACTAAATAAAAGACTATTTTGCTCATCCGAGAGTACCGTTGATCCAAAAAGCAAAGTTTTTGTGTTAACTTGGACAGGAAGAACTGAAACAGAATCTAATAGTTCATGTCTTAA